AGTCATGAGAGATGCAATTCCACCGGCAGAAAGACTCTCTATCACATTAAGGTTTCTTGCAACAGGTTACAATTTAATTTATTTTTACAGATGTTCCATGAAATATTCCATCTCTAAATCAATAAGTACAGCATTTATTTATTTATTTATTTATTTATTTTTTGAAAATTTTACCAATTTTGTTAAACAATGTACAAAGATACTTGTAATGTGCTATAAATTTGTTAGTTTTTCTCTACAGGTATTAGTATTCTGAAGAAATGAAATTGATAAATCTCATGATATTATATTACAGGCGACACTTATCAATCTCTCGAGTACTTGTACAGAATTCCAAAGCAGACTTTGTCTACAATAATTCCAGAAACATGTACAGCAATTTATAATGTTTTAAAGAAAAAGTATTTGAAAGTAAGTTTTTCTTTATAGGTGTACACAGTTATATGTATATGCTGAAAGTAGATATCATTTGAAGAATTAAGGATTTCACAGCTATTCAACAACTGATGTTAGTTTATTTTAAACAATATTTTATTGACGAAATTGACAAAGTTACAAATACACTAGTAATAAATACAATAGAATTGGGGAAACAAGCCATAAGGCTTATATTAATCCCTAATTCTTTCTGCAAATTCAACACGTGAGAGATGAAACAAAATATACCCAGGTAGCACAAAACGTTTTCATAACATTTTATTCCCGTTGTATTGATGTTATCTGAAAACGTTTTTAATAAAACGTTTATAAAATGTTTTTAAAACGTTTTATTTTGGTTGTAAACACGTAATTAAAAAACGTTCTTAACAATCATTTTAAAATGTTTTTTATAACATTTTTTTCCTGTTGCAAGGAGGTTTTGAGAAAACATTTAGCATTTAACATTAATTTCTATAATGATCAAATATCGCGCAGCTATAAATTGAATAGCATGATTAAAAAAAATACTTTGTGTAATAATTATTATAAATTTCATGAAATACAAATGTTAGCAGACAACATGAATACAACATTGTCTTAAAATGTTTGCAAAACATTGTAAAAACGTTACAGAAATACCAACTCCAAGCATAAGAATTAAGTTTTTAATTATTTAGTGCAAGACGATACATGTATATAAATATATAAAACTTTTGTTTCCTTATAAATAGCTCCAAAGTTTGAGTTATGATTGATTTTGAGTTGTGATAATTAAATTTAGACCCCCCAAAATTAAAAAAAAAAACAAAACAACAACAACAACCCGGAAATGTGTTCATATTTTTCTTTTATACCATTGTAAAAAATATTTATATATAACAAGGAGAGTAAAAAAAATTCCAAAAACTTATTTGTTCAACAAAGTTCCTGAATTAAAAAATTCAGTGGAGTCATTTATTTGTGCTATGGGAAATAAGTTTCCCCTTCGATAATGTGTTTATCGAGAGTTAATTGAGTGACACAGCGGGATGCCATGGCCAGTGCTGATGCAGCCGATCCTTGTTTCAAACTATGTCCATGTGATCTAATAACAGTTTTGAAAAACCCGGCGGCATTCTTGTAAGACAAAGAAAAGGAATAGGGGGATACCTTTCAAATGTCAACGTATGGTATGTTAAATTTTAAATAGTATTCATTGCCTGTATATTTAGCAATCATATAGTGTAGCTTTAAATACATATGCATTTAGAATCTTAGATCTTTCATTCTTATAGACTTAGGTGTATATATGTTTATAAAGTTCACTGGCATTTGAATTAGGCGGGCGATTTATTGTTTGAAAACTTGGGTTTATTTACATGTATTAAAATTGTGTGACAGGTTTCAAAACATAATTAAAACATATAGTTGGGAATAGGAATGTATGTGGGAGGGGGTCTTAACAAGACAGGGTTAAATAATTCTTAAGAGGTGGATTAGTTAGACTTTTCCAAATTTTAGTTATGTATTACAGAATACAATGCCACGTTAAACCTATTTTCTTTTGGAAGGGAAAGGAGAGGAATTAATTAATCAATCTCAGGCTTGATTATATATTTGCTAGCAATCAAATTTTGAAATACACATTCTTCATGATAAAATATAACACTCATTTTAGTGAATGCAGTGGTTTCAATGCAGGGCGGAGATATGCAGGACGGTGATGCAAACAAATTCCATGGGTCAGTTCACTAAGACTGGACAGAGGGTTGCACCCCTTTAAAGAATTATTAAGAGTAAGTTTTATCACCATTAATGCTAAGAAAATGCATTAAGATTCATTTAACATATTAACTTATAAATCATTGGAAAATGTATACAGCAAAAGGAAACTGATCTAAGTACTAGTAATGCTGTGTTGTTTTCATTTAACTATTAAACATAGGCGTCGGAGCCGGGGGGTCTAAGCCCCCTCCCCCCAACTTTTTTGCAAAGATAGACGTAATAGAGTTAGTGAAAATTCGGGTTAACCCCTCCCCCAACGTTTTTGTTGGTGTAGCCCCCCCCCCCCCCCCACTTTTAAATTGCTTCCGATGCCTTTGTTAAATATGTTTATACATTAACTTATTTACATTTCTTATAATGAATTTCACATTACATTTTAGTAGCTGCTGCTTACAAGCCTTACAAAGCATCAAAGACAATCTCTTACGATTTAATGAGAGGTGGGACGAAGAGGTTTGATCCATACCTTCCTGGAGGAATTATTAAATATGATAAGGTACGTTTAAAGTTGGTTGTCAGAAATATATAGATATAATACCACCTGTAATTTTTTGTTTATTAATACAACTGTATAACAAAGCATACTTTCTTTGTATTTATCAGATTTTTATATACTAGTATGTTTAGTTAGTTGTCAAATGCCTTATTACATGGATATGTTTAACTTAAAAGAAATGTACGAGTATGAATGGGTAATCATTTAGTCAAAATTTTATGTCCAAATTAATCTTTGTTTTTCAGAAGAACACAGAGAAGTCCAAGTGTATAACAGATTGATTTCTAATGGAATAAGGATGCTGTGATCTTTTCGTATTTCAAACAGTACAAATTTCATTTGAAGGAAGACTGTAATTTTATTGTGCAGGTGTTAAAAACAAAACAAAACAGTGTTTAGACAACATTAATGAATGGATTTAAATTTATTAAATTATAAGACATATATTGTTTATTATGTTGTAAAATTGATTTTTTTTTAAATGTTTTAAAAACGTTTTAAGAAATGTTCTCAAAACGTTTTTAAAAATGTTTTCCAAACGTTTTTAAAAATGTTTTTAAAACATTTCAGTACAATGTTTTTGCAAAACGTTATAATAACGTTTAAAAAAACACACAAAATAACGTTGTAATAACGTTTTAGAAAATGTTTTCATAACATTTTCATAACGTTTTTATAACGTTTTAATAACGTTGTTGTGCTAACTGGGTAGTACACTCAGAAAGAAAACGTTTCATACATATACATATTGTGAATAGTTTACTGGAATTGAAGTCGTTAAATCTCAAAAAATTCCAATTTTTACATAACAAAGTAAAAATTTACTTCACTCATTCATGCCACATCACAAATAGAATTTCAACTGAACAAAGATGAGACGAATAATGTCTTGTAGTAAAAAATATCAAGGGATTTGTTTTTAAAATGTAAAACTTTCAATCAGAAAGTTTTGAATTACAAGAAAAATATTTTGGTTTTCCCTTTCTGAAAGATTTTGTGAACCATAAAGTAATATATCGACAGTTATATGATGAGGTATTGTAAGAATAGTTATATTACGCGATAAAATTGTTACAATGGAAGAAAAACTGTACGATAATTTCAGTCTCACTATATGGACATAGTGGAGAAATAAAAAAAGATATCTACGAAACATATGTCAATTCAAAGAACTGCATTCGAGTCTGAGTTTCTTATGTAAAATTTGACCAAGCCTATTCCCAAGAAAGAAATAATTGGGTATTCTAGATAATTTAGAATTTAAGTATGATTTGAGACTCGAAAGGGGTGGATTATTTTGAATCACCAAAGGTAATTTATTCCAAATACGTATTGTACTGAGAAAGAAGGAATTATAGTACAGTTGAGTTCTAGTTTGAATTTCTTGTAGTGATTTTTCTTGTCTAGTGTTGTAACTATGTCTATGATTCCCATAATCGGAGACAATATTAACTAAGTAATCAGAGGACTTTTTATAATGTACTTTGTGGAATTGAATTAAACGATGATTTTCTCTTCTTTTTGATAGGGTTTCCCATCCCGTCTCTTTGTATAACAGGAATCTACCTGCCATTCTATTCCCTCCCGTAACTATTCCAGCAGCTTCAAGTTGTTCAAGTTTATCTACTAAATAGTCTGGTATATTATCCCGAACTACATCGGCGTATTAAAGTATAGGTCTCATAAAGGAAAAATAGATATTTTGTAACCTTTTCCTGTCCAGTATAAATTTAACTCTAGGCATTATTGTCAGACGATTATAAGCCTATAATTTCTTCCACGTGTAATTTCCAGGATAAATTACTAGCAAATATGACTCCCAAATGCCTATGTGCATCTACTTCTCTTAAATTAACATCGTTAAATACAAGCAATTGATGAAATAGTTTTCGAGTTTTTCTAGATATTGTTAAACACTCAGTTTTGGATGGGTTGAAGGCTACAAGCCAGGTGTTTGACCACTCCTTGACTTTTGCAAGGTTGCGATTAATCAGATTAGATGAATAGTATGCGTTTCCACAAAAACACAAAGCGATGTATCATCCGCGAAAAGTTTTATTATACATTCTATATCTACTAACAGGTCATTTTTATAAATAAGAAATAGGAGTGGACCAAGAATGCTCCCCTGGGGAACACCAGCTTTAATATATTTTAGTTCCGATTTCGCTCCAATTATCACAACACGTTGCTTCCTTTTGTATAAATAGTTTTCAAACCATTTAAGCAATTTTCCGGAGATACATGTACATGTGTACCTATTTTTTCTAACTTGTATAGAAAGCCCCTATGTCACACTTCATCAAAAGCTTTACTAATATCACAGAACTCTAACCTCCTTTCCTTCATCAACAGCTTTATAAAAATCACTTGTAATACTCAACAATTGGTTGACCGTAGAGTCATTAGGTTTAAATATGATGTTCTTGTTGGACACCATTTCTATATCTCCCCTCTGCCAGAATAAACACAACTCTTATATAAGAAAAGTTCAATTCAAGTACAATTCTTTTATTGATCAAATTCTGTGGCCATTAATGAAGTCATCTGAGTTAATGGATTCATTGTATTTGTATCTGAAGAGGAATTAAAAGAATTTAAAGAAGCTAAATTTGAAGAAGTAACATTGCTGAATTGTGTATCAAAAATTAACTGTTGAATTTTTATTTTCAACAAAGATTTTTTTCTGAGATCTTTAATTTTCCTGAGCTCATTCGCAATAAGTTTTGCAAATACAGAGTCCTCATCCTCAACATCTGTTTTTCGCTCTTGAATGCTTGACAAAGCAGAAACAGCCCTCTCCATGACTTCCTCGGGCAGGTTTCGTTTCTAAATCTTTTTTGTAGTCGGAATTTCTAGTTCTTTGTCATCATTTTTTTCATCATCTTCATCATTGTTTTGGGAGGTATTACTGATATCCTGCAAAACAAATTTTGTCAATTTTTTAAATTTCATTTAGGTTCCATCAACACCAGAAGAATGGGAACGTATTGCCGAGGATTTTGAAAGCAAATGGAACTTTCCGAATTGCATCGGGGCTATTGATGGCAAGCACATTACCATCAGAAATCCTGTGGGGAGCGGATCCCGCTTTTTTAATTACAAAGGGTTTTATAGTATAGTGTTAATGGCTGTTGTTGATGCAGATTATAAATTTATTTATATAGACATTGGCTGCAACGGAAGAATAAGTGACGGGGGTATTTTTGCAAGATGCTCACTTCATGAACGCCTGGAAACTTCTACAATGTGCATACCACCATCAAAGCCACTGCCAGGACGTCGGAATGCTGTACCCTATGTTATTGTTGGTGATGAGGCTTTTCCCCTCAAGCCCTATTTACTTAAACCCTATCCATCACGACAACTTGATGAACCCAAGCAAATCTTTAACTATAGACTTTCTAGAGCGAGACGGATAGTAGAAAACGTGTTTGGCATACTGTCTAACAGGTTTGCAATTTTTCAGACACCTATTGCACTGGATATAGAAAAAGTTGAGGCTATTGTATTGGCAGCATGTGCACTTCATAATTTTTTAAGAACAAAGTCTCAGGATGTATATATGCCCATAGGAAGTACCGACTGTGAGGATTTTGAAAAAAGCAATATTATTCAAGGTGATTGGCGCAGGGGTCCAGTTCCCCAAGGTAACTTTATTGCTTTGTCAAGTCAAGGTGGAAACAGAACAAGTATAGGGACAAGGGAAATTCGTGACGAATTTTGCGATTATTTCTTCACAAACGGACAAGTGGCCTGGCAGTGGGATAAGACAAATTGAGTCAATTTATGTAAATATATGATAGATTTCTATAAGATATAGGTAATAAAACAATTGTTACCAATGTGCTCATTGATTGTCTTGGAGTGATTTGTTCTCTTAGGAAGCTGTCCAAGGTTGCAAAAAATGGCCACTTTGACGTGTATATATCACTAATTCCAGATCCACTTTTTTTGCTTGACCTCATTTTCTTTAATTCCTTGGCATAGTAACATCTCAGGCTCTGCAGCTTGCAATTAATTTGAGTGACTATAATGAGGAAATTAAACAATAGTTTTTTAATGTTTCAAACCATGATAATGACCCACAATGTAAAATAATATAAATTCAAAAAACAAATAAAGCATTCTGGTATTCTCTCTCTCTCTCTCTCTCTCTCTATATATATATATATATATGGAGGGTTTACATAAATTTGAGTCTATTTAATTGTTCACATTACATAATATATAAACTAGAGTTTTGTGTCTTTTTACATATCGAGCTTTTATTCCCGTCTATTGCTTTCCTCAATTAAGTACTAGTAAACAAATTTAAAATGACTTATAATCAATCTAAATTGTCCATCATTATCAGTATCATCACCTGTCCCGTGAGCTCTCTTTGAATGCAGTTTTGCTGTTGTAAATCTTGAAATGAAAAAAGATATAATTAAAGGATTCACACCTGTAAAGTCCATCTCCATGTCTTTTTTAAGATTTTCTTTTATTCTAGAAAGGGAAATGTTCCTAGATTCTTTCTTATGATATGCCTCGCTAGATACATTCCAGAGACTTTCCTCTTCTTCCCACAAATTAACGAGTTTTTCCACGACCTCGTTTGTAAAGACGGCCATTGTATCTTTCGAATACCCCAAATCTAGCCACGTGTTCGGTTTGATAAAAATAGGCTGACACTTGGGTGAATGATTTTCATTGGCTAACAAGGAAAGGTCAGCTAAATCTTGTATTAAGAAATAGAGCAGTGCTCTATTCGTAAGTCAGACTTGTAAGGCTGGGAAAAACGTGTATTAAGCGTGTACACACGGTAAGGCTAGAACTTAAGTTTCATGACTTGTAAGGCAAGCCTTACCGTGTGTACCGGCCCTAAGGTGACTTAGGGCCGGTACACACGGTAAGGCTTGCCTTATAACAGTATAAGTCTAAAACCGTACGTTTTGCAGGACGTACGGCTCTCATGTCCACACGTTAAGGCAAGACTTACAAAATTATACATGTATACAACATTTCCATAAATCCCACGTGATTCCAACCATAAATAGTGCATTCGGTCATTAAAATAGAAGCATAGATTACTAGACCTTGTAATAATTATACCAACAAGTACATACACACTTCTTAAAAAAAAGAGGAAGAGGTTGAACAGAAGCATTTGTGGATATTTACATTATATAATTCGAAAATACTTTGTGTTCACTTCAATATACCCACGTTTGATCAAAATAGAATGACATTTGGGCGAATGATTTTCATTGGTTGAGAAGAAAATTTCAGCTAAGTCTTGTATTAAGAAATAGAGCTGTGTTCTATTTGTAAGTAAGACTTGTAAGGCTCGAAAAACCATGTATTAAGGGTGTACACACGGTAAGGCAAGAACTTAAGTTCCATGACTTATATAAGGCGAGCCTTATCATCTGTACCGACCCTTAGTCTCCTTAGTTACTGTTTTCTAACTGTCCATATTTTTAAAACATTTTTTTTATTATCTTGAAAAGTTTTGGCACGTTTGTATATTATCTCTCTTCTGCTCAATGAACACTTTCATATAACGATAAATATTTGCAATTTATTGAATGATTCTGAACATACATTTAAAAAAAATTAATGTTTAAAAGATTTTTAGACAAATACAATGGAATGCTACAGCTGTTTATACAATATTTATAACGAAAAAACTACATCCAATTATAAAAGATAAAAACCAATCAAAATTTTAAACAGTCAAAAAAGTAAAAACTATTCCGATATTTATGTCTTGAATAATTATATTCAATATATTTTCTAGCAGTCGTCTGAAAGAGGTGTAAACTAATCAATATTTCAAACAAGTCAAAAAATTAAAAATGATTCCATTCTTTGCACAATATTTTTGGCCGAATAATTATATTCATAATTTGGTAGCAGTCCCATGAAGGAGTTGGACAGTCAAGAAAGGATTATTTTGGTGAACATAAATATTTTGACAGTTGAACTCTGAAAGATTTACTTTGAGTCGCATACAAAAAAATTTCTACTGGTTTGCTAAAAGCAAATATAAAGTAGACGTACATGTACGTAATAAATATTGATGAATAGGAATGCATAATATCAATGTGATCCCATGATACATAAAGATACACCTTTAAAACAACAGTTGGAAACTCTTGCAGAAGAAAGGAACTCCCTAACAGTAAATTGACTTTAAGTAGACGTAAATACTTGACCTTACCAGTTTTTTGACCTCTCATTAATATGTCTAGAGCTTTTATCTGTTTTTTCATTACAATATAAAGTACAATAATACTGCCACTATTGATTACAATGGGTAGAAAACTTAAGTAAATTACATTACTTAAAAAGCCAAGAAATTGTGCCTTGAGGGTAAAATCCCATGTTCCGACTCGTGAAAATTCCGCTTTACATGCATCAATGATTTTAAAAGAGTGTTCTGAAGAAAATTCCTGTACAATTCTGACGGGTGTCAAGGGAATGCTGGTGGGAATTATAAACTGTAAACTACACACAATAATATGAATAAGAGTCCAAACACAAATCAATTTCTTAAATCTACTGTAGTAAAATTTAAATTTGATGGGAAATAAAAATAGGAGTGCTTGAGTTAGAATCGAAAGACATTTGAGATGAACGGATGTTGCATGAATAACTTGTAAAACAACAATAGAAATAATCATAGGTCTACAAATCTTATATTCCAGGAATCCATAATTCATGTTAAAATATTCTAGAAGTCCATCACGGATGCCCATAAACATCGAAAACAGAACGTCGACACACATTACTAGAATCAGGAATCTTTGAGCTGTGCCATAAAGTTTCCCTTTGTGAAATATATTCCACATGAAAAGAGTTGCACATAATGGCAGGACCCATAAATATGGCGATATCATTGTAGAAAATTCCAAACCGAATGTACCGTACAGATCTAAAAATTTGAACACCTGCTCAAAATTTCTTTTGTCCTCAAGCATGCCAAAAATTAAGTTATTCAGTATTTGAGAAGCATTTTGTACTATGTTCGCCATGATATCCGTCTTTTATTAGAGTGTGGATACCTTTATGCATATTTTCATCCATTCTCTTTATATAGTCAGTGATTTGTTAATTTTTAGAACAATATGACACCATAACACTATATTACATGTAAGTGATTTTCGATTTATTCCGTTCGTGGTGTTTTAATCCAGTATCAGGTTTTAAACTTTTCAGATTATTGTGTAACGGTTTTGAACAGAGTTTCAGCTCTTCTGACCCAAAGGCCCAAATAGCTAATGCTATGGCAATTTGTGTGGTGTGTGTCTACTTTCTGGAAAATGAGCCATCTCTCAAGAACCCCTTGGCTGAAAATTTGACAAGCTTGTAACAGGGTATCCTTGGCCCAAGGACTTTCATCTATCTAAAAATAAGGATGTGACCCTTAAACAAGGGCAGATATTTTCAAGAAATAAAAACAAAAGTATTCTTCTCAAAAACAACTGGGCAGATTATCACAAAACTTGTGCATAAGGATGAGGATATGTTGTAGATTAAATGCTAATGTTCAAGGCATCACTCTGGGGCAAAGGGTGTGGTCTCAAGGTCACTTCAAAATTGACCTAAATGATGTTTTGTTAATAATTTAATATTTTACTGACTTTGAGGACTAGGGTCATCAAGTCTTGTCAGTTGGTGCATCTTGAGACCTCATGTCATGTTGACTCGGAAGAGGGTCACGATGACCGACTTTTCAAATTTTGCAGGTATTCATTTTTAAATTTATTTTGATACATATATTGGAAACTTTAAAGCCTGTGATCATCAAAAATTGTCAGATTTTGCATCATGGGACTATGAAGTATTTCAAACCAGAAAGTAGGTCACTATGACTTACTTTCTAATTTTATGACTTAACATTTTTAAAACATTTTACATGTAGTTCATTTTTTCAGATACTGAGAGGTTTAGAATCACCAAAACTAAATTGATGCATCGTGGGACCTTGCAACATATTTATGAAAAAGTAGGTTACATTGAAGTACTTTTTGAATTTTGCAGGTATTCATTTTAAATTGTATTAAATGCATATTGTTGACAAAGTGAAGCCAATGATCATCCAACCTTATCAGTTGATGCATCCAAAGGCCTCGAAGTATATCAATCAAAAATTGGTCTCAATGACCTTATTCTTTTTTTTTTAATTTCATATCGTCGCCCGCGTGGCGCAGTGGTTAGAGCGTCTGCTCTAGAGTCGCAGAGTAAGGAGGTGATCCTTACGTCGCGGGTTTGAATCCCACTGTGGGACATGGAGACCAGTCCTTCGGATGAGACCATATAAACCGAGGCCCCGTGTGGCAGTAGGTCGGGAGGTCGTGAGTTCGAATCTCGGCCGCGACTGACCTAAGTCGATAAAAAATGGGTAGCAACTGTTCCTTCGCCATGCGCTCGGCACTTTGAAGTGAAAGTTGCGGGTCCTTCGGATGAGACCTTAAAAACTGAGGCCCCGTGTCACGGCAGGCGTTGGCACGATAAAGATCCCTCACTGCTCAATGGCCCTGAGTGCCGAGCATAGGCCAAAATTTGCAGCTCTCCACCGGCAAGTGGTCGCGTCTCTAAATGAGTGAAAAATTCTCGAGAGGGACGTTAAACAACATACAAACAAACAAACAAATAAAATTTCATATTTGTATTTAAATATTTCAGATACAAATTGACTTAGAACCATCAAACTTTGTCAATTGATTTTGTTTGTTTGTTTGTTGTTTTCCGTCCATACGAGAATTTTTCATTCATATTGAGAAGCCACCACTTGCTGGTGGAGGGCTGTGAATTTAGACTTGTACTCGGCACCTGGGGCTTTTGAGCAGTGAGAGATATTTTTTGTGCTAGCATATACTGCGGCAGGGGACCTCAATTTATACGGTCTCATCCGATGGACCTGTCTCCACGTCCCGCAGTAGATTCAAACCCGCGACAGGATAAGGATATCAACTCCTCGACTCGAAAGTAAACGCTCTAACAACTGCTCCACACGGTCGAATCTTTGTCAGCTGATGCATTATGGGTCCTCAGAATGTGTCAACCAAAAGGTAAGTAATCGTGACCTACTTTTGGAATTTCAAGACAATATCTAAATATTCCAAATAGTAAGAGGCTTAGAATCGTCAAACTTTGTCAGTTAGTGCATCTGGGGTTTGCAAAGTATGTCAACAAAAAAGTAGGACACGGTGACTTTCTTTTGATATTTCAGGCTATATCTAAATATTTTGTATCATAAGTGACTTAGAATCAACCTTTGGGTCCTCTGAGTGTTTCTACCAAAAAGTAGGTCACAGTGAGCTCATTTCGGAATTTCACAATTTTATCTTAATATTTAGGATGATAAGAGACTCAAAATAATGAAATTTTGTCAGTTGATGCATCTTAAGTCAACGGAGTTTGTCCTCTAAAATGTGGGTCACATTAACCAACTTTTGGAAATTAATAGTTTAAGATATTAAGAAACTTAGAATTATCAAACTTTATTAGTTGACTCACTTGAGTCCCCAATTGTGTCAACCAAAAAGTAGATCATTGTGACCTACTTTGGAATTTCAATGCTTTATTTAAATATTTATGATACTAATAGGCTTAGAATAGAAGT